GCATTATTCTCTATTCTTTACATTTCAAAACACCATTTTTCTATATTCTTTTTTTTTCTTTGCCAATTTATTTCTATTCCTTATTTCATAGCTAATTATTCTTCTTTTTTTTTGCCTATTTCTCTCTACCCTGCAAACTCTATTCAGACCCTCGATATACTATAAAAACTAAACAGGATGTGAGTAAAACAGTCGACTATATCAGACAAAAGTAAACCAACATGTGAGGGAATTACTTGATGTTAGGTTTAGTAGAAAGAGGGAATATGATGAACATTATGAATTGCTATATTAGACTAGCGTTGCTGGTGGTTAGTTTTGAAAACCAATTTTTAGAGGTATTTTTCAGTACAACATTGAAAATTGACAAATGATTTATCATTACACAGAATGAACATATATAGAAGTTTTTCTCTTGACCATGAAAAACAAGCTTAAACTTTTATCGAAATCTTTTCTAAATAACTAAAAATATCTTTTGAACATCGTAGCGATAGACAAAATATTGCACCACCTGTCAAAAAATGTTTCCATATATTTTTGTATGACATTATCAAGATTGTATCTTTTCATAAGTTGTTCCATAAGTATTGTTTGTTTTGATTTGCTTATGAATTAGTAATTTAAATACAGTTTTGCTATATCAAAATTCGACATTTGTTGAAAATGACCCGGCCACTTATCAACTTTCATTAAACTCATTTGCGTCAAGGCAAAGTATATATTTGAGCATGTAAAGTAGATTGACATGTGGTAACACATACATGAAGCTATCATGGGACCTTCTAATCTTAAACTTTTTTATCCAATATTCAAATAATTTTACCCTATAATGATATTATCCTAAATGGAGGCTTAGCAGTTTTTCTTGTTTCTTTTTATATGTTTTTTTTTGGCAAATCTGTAAATAGATATGCACTACAGGAATCGGGGTTGAATTAAAACAAGAACTTGCTACATATACAACAGGGTCTGGAGGGGGAGGTGTCCTTTATTTCTTTTTTTTTAAATTATATTTTAGACCATTAACCAGTCTATTCTTCATTTGTTTTGTGCATTATTCTCTATTCTTTACATTTCAAAACACCATTTTTCTATATTCTTTATTTTTGTTTGCCGATTTATTTCTATTCTTTATTTTCTAGCCAATTGTCCTTATTTTTTTTTTTTGCCTATTTTTTTCTAGCCTGCAAACTCCATCCAGACCCTCGATCAACTATAAAACTAAACAGGACGTGAGTAAAACAGTCGACTATATCAGATACACACGATGTCACTCTAGTATAACATTTTAATAAATAAAATAATAAAATTTAAATCATCATCGAAAAGAGAATCAAGCACATGATAACTTGTACTATCCATATTCATTAATTTGATTAAGAATATTCTTTGGTCTCCAAATGAAATTAAACACAGAAACTAAAACCGGTTTTCTTTCACAAAACCCGTATTTAGTTTTAGCGTTTGATTTCATTTGTAAGTTTTTTGAAAAACCGGATTATGAAACTGTATCTGGTTCTCTTGTAATCAAACACGACTTTACTGTTGTGAACTAAATGAGACAACTTTGATTGGACGGTGTAAATATGGGAATTACGTTATTCCAAAAATAAACGATTTGCACATTTTCGGGAAATTGATCATTTCTAAAAAATGTCGAATTTCAAAATTGAAGCAAACTTGCTAGTCGATTGCTTGTAAAAGAAGTACTGTGATTTTTCTGATTTCAATAACAAAAACCCATTGAAAATAATAAAAGACGTAGTACATTCAGGTGATATAATATTGCCTTTGACGGGGAATAAACAAGACAATTCATTACAAACTGTACATCCTATTTATTCTCGCATCATCTTACAACAACTAATAAAAAAATAGTGTTACTGGCCCGACCTTACATCCTAATAACCAGAAATAGCCCGACCTCGAACCGGATTTAACCGTACTACATAACATAAGTTTAATTAAAAGAGGACTTTAATGCATTAAATCACTGCATGAAAAAATGCATTCAGCCAGCTGAAACCCGTCTTCGGATGCGGGATTTTCTCGCTGTGTTGGGCTGTTTTCTGCTCTTTGATTGGGTTCTTGTCTCTTTGACACATTCCCCATTTCCATTCTCAATCTTATGTAAATCAATTTGGGCAGGAATGCAAATGTTTATTAAAGCTAAGTACTTTTTTGCCAGATATATTTACGGACGTACATATGTACTGATAAATATATCATACCTTTAATATTATTTAAAAGGTCTTCAACGATATGTTAAATAGAGCAATTTTATTTCCATAGCTTTACACATATTCTAAAGATATGTAAAGATAAGCCTCATATTTGCATATATTATTAAGGATATTAAAGGTAATCAAAGATAAAAATTTACAAAACTTCTTTATACTGGTGTTGGCAGTTTTGAGAGACTGCGGTTTATGAAGAATTTACAAGCACAGTAAATATAGATAAATATTTGTGTAGAATTTACAATCTTTTGACTATGTAGTTCATGTATGTAAAGATATGCATTGTACTTGCGAAAACGTTTTTGCATTCAAGTGTGTTACAAAGATGTTAATATTTGCTAAATATCTTAACAGAGGTATGTATAATTTTGAGCGACCGCAGTTTACACAACATGTACATTTACAAAAAGGGTAAATGCTGTCAAATATTTGTGTTATATGTGCAATCCTTTGTTTGTGTAGTTCAAGTATGTAAAGATATGTGTTTTATTTGCAAAAACTTTCTTGCTTCAACGTTTGATACAGATATATTGTTATTTTTTAAATATATTTACAGAGGAATGTTTAGTTTTGAGAGACCACAGTTTACACAACATTTACAACTCGGGTAAATGCTGTCAAATATTTGTGTTATATTTGCCATCATTTGTCTGCATAGTTCAAGTATGTACAGTTGTGCGTTTTATTTGCGAAAACTTTCTTGCATCAAAGTTGATTACAGAGATATTAATATTTGCTAAATATATTTACAGAGGTATGTATAGTTTTGAGAGACCGCAGTTTACACGATATTTACAACCAGGGTAAATGCTGTCAAATATGTGTGTTATATCAACAATCCTTTGTCTATTTAGATCAAGTATGTAAAGATATGCATTTTATTTGCGAAAACTTTCTTGCTTCTACGTTTGATACAGAGATATACATATTTGCAAAATATATTTACAAAGGTATGTATAGTGTTGAGAGATCACAGTTTACAAAACATTTACAACCAAAGTAAATGCTGTCCAATATTTGTGTAATATTTTAAACATTTTTCAGTGTCGTTAATAAATGTAAATCTATGCATTTTATTTGAAAATAATTTCTTGCATAAAAGTTGTTTTGGAAATATTTATATTAGCAAAATAGTTTTGATAGTCCGCGGTTTAATTTTGTATTTGTCGTTTTTATTTGTGAAGATTTGCATTCTATTTAGGAAACCCAACAATATTTTTAGTCATCTAACATGTCTAAATAGAATCAAACTTATTCATAAGAAGAGGTTAGAGTTTTTACCCAAACTTTAAATTTTCTTAAGTATAGTTTCAATATCTAATAAATTTTGGAAAGATGTTTCCTTTGGCATGTGAAAATAGTCATTTGCGATAATACCCTAGAGGTGGAATGCAAATTAATGGAAAGAAGTAAAAGAAGACATATACGTACACTTATGTGTACCCAACGTGGAATGAATAAGCACATTGTAAAAACGTATTGCTAGAAAAATAGACAAACATGTCGGCGTTTCAAAAAAAATCTAAATTTGAGATGAATAGTAAGAGCTTAAAAAAAGGCATCTGGTCTAGATACGTCATGTCGTTTAATATGCGTGTGAAGTGTGGGACAATTGTGGTATTTGCTATTCTAACAAATTAAAAAAATATATGTTTTTCCTCATGCATCAGTAGGTGGATTGATCATATGATGCATTGCAAGTTACACCATGAATCCTGTGTTATTATCTTCAGAACAGACATTTGCACACATATACCTTTGAAACGATACTGACCTTTGGACCACTTCAAAACACCTCGTGGGTGTTGTCTTCAACTCGAAATAACGGAATCCTTATGTAATGTGTACGAAATGTGACAAAAGAGTCCACTAAAATAGCAAAAAAAAATCTTTGATTTCAAATCGATAAAAATTACTTACGTGCGCAAAGTCTACAAGAAAATTGCAGTTTCACTATCCTTTTCTGTACTTGATTATGTATTTTTGATCTGTCAAATTGAAAGTCCTATATGATAAAATACGACTGTTCCAGGTATTGTTCTACCTGAACCATGCATCATGGGTCACATACGTATTTGAGTCATTTTCAAAAAATGTCGAATTTTCAGTAAACCTACATTGTATGTTATTTTTTTATTTTTATTTTTCATGGACAAATGAAGATGTAAGTGTTTAAATGTTGGTTAACAGGATTTATGAGTTGGAACATTAATAATAAATACAATTTATTATATCTATTTTGATCAGATTAAAATATATTTAGTCCAATTTTTGCGTAATTTATGTGCGTACAGTGTCAGGGTAACACATTACAAATGATTTTTTTTCTATTTTCTGTTTGCATTGATATCTGCAAAGGGAATTATTTTTATGTGTTAATGATAACTCTAACTAAAAATCACAGCTTCTTTATTAGTATATGTAACATTTGTTCTACAATCTAAATTCATTCAGCGTACATGAAGTTCATGTCCATCCTGTTACCGACACTAGATCAACAATTAAATTTGTTCCCCCTATGAAAATAGAACTATTTAGCGATGATTGCAAAACTATCAAGCATCATTTAAAGTTAACGCACCACGTTTCTTGCATAACAGTCTAGAGAAAAAAAATTTTAAGACATTTAATGAAAAACATTAGTGGGTACCCTTTTATCAGGTCTATGCTGTTACCAACAAATTTATCAATTCCAACAATATTATACTTGTAAAAAGTGCAATAACGTGATGATAACCCAAAACACAACAGAAAAACCTTATCACTGCATCAGAATGAGTAGTTCTTTCACAACAGCATTCATAGTTGAAGAAATTTGTCTATTCTGTTATGTCTATCCTGTTACTACGGTTACAGTAACAGGATAGAAATGATTTGACTGAAACGTCTTTAAAAAGTATATAACTACATACCATTTTACATATAATGAAATATTTGGTTGTTTGAGATCATTTAAAGGTTACAACGTCTTACTATCCGCAATTTAGCATATACAAAATGCAATACTATTATCGGTAACAGGATAGACAAAAAGGGTAACAGGATAGAATTTGATATGGTGATATCGTTAACGTACGTTCCTGTTACCAAAAACAAAACGACAAAAGTAAACCAACATGTGAGGGAATTACTTGATGTTAGATTTATTAGAAAGAGGAAAAAATACTGAACATTATGAATTGCTATATTAGACTAGCGTTGCTGGTGGTTAGTTTTATGACCTTTGAAAACCAATTTTTAGAGGTATTTTTCAGTTCAACATTGAAAATTGACAAAAAACCTATCATTACACACAGAATTAAAATATATAGAAGTTTTTACTCTTGAAAACCATCTTATTGACCATGAAAAAAAGCTTAACATTTTATCGAAATCTTTTCTAAATAGCTAAAAATATCTTTTGAACATGGCAGCGATAGACAAAATATTGCACAACCTATCAAAAATGTTTCCATATATTTTTGTATGACATTATCAAGATTGTATCTTTTCATAAGTTGTTCCATAAGTATTGTTTGTTTTGATTTGCTTATGAAGAGGTTGGTTTGAATTAGTAATTTAAATACAGTTTTGCTATATCAAAATTCGACATTTGTTGAAAATGACCCGGCCACTTATCAACTTTCATTAAACTCATTTGCGTCAAGGCAAAGTATATATTTGAGCATGTATATAACCAAATAACACAAACTAACTTATATCATGCGTGTGAAATATTTATTACACATTAAACATGTTAAAGTAGATTGACATGTGATAACACATACATGAAGCTATCATGGGACCTTCTAATCTTAAACTTTTTTATCCAATATTCAAATAATTTTACCCTATAATGATATTATCCTAAATGGAGGCTTAGCAGTTTTTCTTGTTTCTTTTTATATGTTTTTTATTTTTTTTGGCAAATCTGTAAATAGATATGCACTACAGGAATCGGGGTTGAATTAAAACAAGAACTTGCTACATATACAACAGGGTCTGGAGGGGGAGGTGTCCTTTATTTCTTTTTTTTTAAATTATATTTTAGACCATTAACCAGTCTATTCTTCATTTGTTTTGTGCATTATTCTCTATTCTTTACATTTCAAAACACCATTTTTCTATATTCTTTATTTTTGTTTGCCGATTTATTTCTATTCTTTATTTCATAGCCAATTGTTCTTCTTTTTTTTGCCTTTTTTTTTCTAGCTTGCAAACTCCATCCAGACCCTCGATCAACTATAAAACTAAACAGGACGTGAGTAAAACAGTCGACTATATCAGATACACACGATGTCACTCTAGTAGTACATTTTAATAAATAAAATAATAAAATTTAAATCATCATCGAAAAGAGAATCAAGCACATGGTAACTTGTACTATCCATATTCATTAATTTGATTAAGAATATTCTTTGGTCTCCAAATGAAATTTAACACAGAAACTAAAACCGGTTTTCTTTAACAAAACCCGTATTTAGTTTTAGCGTTTGATTTCATTTGTAAGTTTTTGAAAAACCGGATTATGAACCGTATCTGGTTCTCTTGTAATCAAACACGACCTTACTGTTGTGAATTAAATGAGACCACTTTGATTGGACGGTGTAAATATGGGAATTACGTTATTCCAAAAATAAACGATTTTCACATTTTCGGGAAATTGATCATTTCTAAAAAATGTCGAATTTCAAAATTGAAGCAAACTTGCTAGTCGATTGCTTGTAAAAGAAGTAGTATGGTTTTTGTTATTTCAATAACAAAAACCCATTGAAAAAAATAAAAGACGTAGTACATTCAGGTGATATAATATTGCCTTTGACGGGGAATAAACAAGACAATTCATTACAAACTGTACATCCTATTTATTCTCGCATCATCTTACAACAACTAATAAAAAAATAGTGTTACTGGCCCGACCTTACATCCTAATAACCAGAAATAGCCCGACCTCGAACCGGATTTAACCGTACTACATAACATAAGTTTAATTAAAAGAGGACTTTAATGCATTAAATCACTGCATGAAAAAATGCATTCAGCCAGCTGAAACCCGTCTTCGGATGCGGGATTTTCTCGCTGTGTTGGGCTGTTTTCTGCTCTTTGATTGGGTTCTTGTCTCTTTGACACATTCCCCATTTCCATTCTCAATCTTATGTAAATCAATTTGGGCAGGAATGCAAATGTTTATTAAAGCTAAGTACTTTTTTGCCAGATATATTTACGGACGTACATATGTACTGATAAATATATCATACCTTTAATATTATTTAAAAGGTCTTCAACGATATGTTAAATAGAGCAATTTTATTTCCATAGCTTTACACATATTCTAAAGATATGTAAAGATAAGCCTCATATTTGCATATATTATTAAGGATATTAAAGGTAATCAAAGATAAAAATTTACAAAACTTCTTTATACTGGTGTTGGCAGTTTTGAGAGACTGCGGTTTATGAAGAATTTACAAGCACAGTAAATATAGATAAATATTTGTGTAGAATTTACAATCTTTTGGCTATGTAGTTCATGTATGTAAAGATATGCATTGTACTTGCGAAAACTTTTTTGCATTCAAGTGTGTTACAAAGATGTTAATATTTGCTAAATATCTTAACAGAGGTATGTATAATTTTGAGCGACCGCAGTTTACACAACATGTACATTTACAAAAAGGGTAAATGCTGTCAAATATTTGTGTTATATGTGCAATCCTTTGTTTGTGTAGTTCAAGTATGTAAAGATATGTGTTTTATTTGCAAAAACTTTCTTGCTTCAACGTTTGATACAGATATATTGTTATTTTTTAAATATATTTACAGAGGAATGTTTAGTTTTGAGAGACCACAGTTTACACAACATTTACAACTCGGGTAAATGCTGTCAAATATTTGTGTTATATTTGCCATCATTTGTCTGCATAGTTCAAGTATGTACAGTTGTGTGTTTTATTTGCGAAAACTTTCTTGCATCAAAGTTTATTACAGAGATATTAATATTTGCTAAATATCTTTACAGAGGTATGTATAGTTTTGAGAGACCGCAGTTTACACGATATTTACAACCAGGGTAAATGCTGTCAAATATGTGTGTTATATCAACAATCCTTTGTCTATTTAGATCAAGTATGTAAAGATATGCATTTTATTTGCGAAAACTTTCTTGCTTCTACGTTTGATACAGAGATATACATATTTGCAAAATATATTTACAAAGGTATGTATAGTGTTGAGAGATCACAGTTTACAAAACATTTACAACCAAAGTAAATGCTGTCCAATATTTGTGTAATATTTTAAACATTTTTCAGTGTCGTTAATAAATGTAAATCTATGCATTTTATTTGAAAATAATTTCTTGCATAAAAGTTGTTTTGGAAATATTTATATTAGCAAAATAGTTTTGATAGTCCGCGGTTTAATTTTGTATTTGTCGTTTTTATTTGTGAAGATTTGCATTCTATTTAGGAAACCCAACAATATTTTTAGTCATCTAACATGTCTAAATAGAATCAAACTTATTCATAAGAAGAGGTCAGAGTTTTTACCGAAACTTAAAATTTTCTTAAGTATAGTTTCAATATCTAATAAATTTTGGAAAGATGTTTCCTTTGGCATGTGAAAATAGTCATTTGCGATAATACCCTAGAGGTGGAATGCAAATTAATGGAAAGAAGTAAAAGAAGACATATACGTACACTTATGTGTACCCAACGTGGAATGAATAAGCACATTGTAAAAACGTATTGCTAGAAAAATAGACAAACATGTCGGCGTTTCAAAAAAAAATCTAAATTTGAGATGAATAGTAAGAGCTTCAAAAAATGCATCTGGTCTAGACACGTCATGTCGTATAATATGCGTGTGAAGTGTGGGACAATTGTGGTATTTGCTATTCTAACAAATTAAAAAAATATATGTTTTTCCTCATGCATCAGTAGGTGGATTGATCATATGATGCATTGAAAGTTACACCATGAATCCTGTGTTATTATCTTCAGAACAGACATTTGCACACATATACCTTTGAAACGATACTGACCTTTGGACCACTTCAAAACACCTCGTGGGTGTTGTCTTCAACTCGAAATAACGGAATCCTTATGTTATGTGTACGAAATGTGACAAAAGTCCTATATGATAAAATATGACTGTTCCAGGTATTGTTCTACCTGAACCATGCATCATGGGTCACATACGTATTTGGGTCATTTTCAAAAAATGTCGAATTTTCAGTAAACCTACATTGTATGTTATTTTTTAATTTTTATTTTTCATGGACAAATGAAGATGTAAGTGTTTAAATATAGGTAAACAGGATTTATGAGTTGGAACATTAATAATAAATACAATTCATTATATCTATTTTGATCAGATTAAAATATATTTAGTCCAATTTTTGCGTAATTTATGTGCGTACAGTGTCAGGGTAACACATTACAAATGATTTTTTTTCTATTTTCTGTTTGCATTGACATCTGCAAAGGGAATTATTTTTATGTGTTAATGATAACTCTAACTAAAAATCACAGCTTCTTTATTAGTATATGTAACATTTGTTCTACAATCTAAATTCATTCAGCGTACATGAAGTTCATGTCCATCTTGTTACCGACACTAGATCAACAATTAAATTTGTTCCCCCTATGAATATAGAACTATTTAGCGATGATTGCAAAACTATCAAGCATCATTTAAAGTTAACGCACCACGTTTCTTGCATAACAGTCTAGAGAAAAAAAAATTTAAGACATTTAATGAAAAACATTAGTGGGTACCCTTTTATCACGTCTATGCTGTTACCAACAAATTGATCAATTCCAACAATATTATACTTGTAAAAAGTGCAATAACGTGATGATAACCCAAAACACAA